CATGATGGTTAAGGCGCTGGACTCCCATGTAGTCGACTGCGGTTCGAGTCCCGGACCTGGTGGCTTAAACTAATGTCAGGCACGTGTGTGTGCGTGTGTGCCCAAGATCCCCAGGGGAGAATGGAGAAGAAGGGATTGCAGCGTGGTCATCCCTGCTGGGGGGTGATTTCTCACTTTCTGTCTCTCTGTCTCTCTCTGTCTTTCTGGTTAGTGCAAGTGCCCTATAGCAAAAACCTCTCGAAAGAAAGAAAGAAGCTAGCCCCAAAGGGGACAGACTATATAATTCTGTATTTCACATTCTGGAAGCTAAAAATACTAAGGAGGGAAACTTCAGTGGTTGACAGGGGCTGGGATAGGGAAGATTATAAGCATAAGGGGAGTTTTGGGGTGAAGGTAGTTACAGAAATATGTATGTGTGTATATATATATATATATGTGTGTGTATGTATGTGTTAAAATTTGTAGAATTACACCGAAAGAAGAAAAATTTTACTATGAGGCTTTCTTTATTGTCATTACTTAGCATGCTAAAGATGGTCATTGGAGAAAATGCCTTATTTTTCAGTCTCTTCTGATAAGGTAATTTTAAAAACAATCCTTTCTTAAATCTATAGGGACATACAAATATATTGTTCCTGTGGTTTCCTTGAGACATGGAGTCTGCTCAGGGTCTCTGGATTCTCCTCCTGGTACTGCTCTGGGGTCTCTGAAAACACACTGGTGGAACCCACACGGTGTCCACGTGCCCCTCTCCTGGAGTTGAAATGAGCCTGTCCATTCCAGCTCCTACTGCCACGAGCCCCCACCCCCACCCCGGCCCCAGCCTCCTGCATGACCCGACCTGTCCCGGCCCATAGCTCCCTGCTGGCTTCATGCCTCGTCGGCGCGCAGTGAGGGAGCTTGCTCTGCGAGGCAGTGGGGGGCGTCCCAGCGGGGTCGCCGGGAGTCGTCCCAGCGGTGTCGCCTGTGTGCACCCTCATTGTAGTGCGGCTCGCCTCTGCCCACTGGGAGCTGCAGGCCGCCATTGTGAAGTTGGATACTTCCTGGAGCCATTTCCAGGTGGCCGTTTTCCTCTGGACAACTCGTCTTATTGACCGTCGGCGAGGACAATGGGGGCACGTGTGCGTCTGGGTGGCAGCAGGCTGCTCTGCTAGGACAGGGAGCAAGTGCCATAAACGTCTTCCTTTATTTCCTCCCCTTTGGCTCGAGCTGCTGGCAGGTTCTGGCAGCTCTCGTGTGTTCTGCTCCAGTTGCTGCAGAGAGGTGCTTTATTTCGCGAGTAGAAAATCTATACCCAGATGAGATCCAGTGCAGTGTGATTGCAGGGAGTGTCCCTCACCCACTTCCGTTTTACGTCGTGCGGGGCCTTGAGCTTCGTGCTCGCGCTGCCCTGGTGGGTTTTATTGATCCACAGAAGATAAAGGTGGCTTTTGATTCTTTCTAGACGCCAGCAAATGAGAAGGTAGACCTCCTAAAGAGTATTTGCTCACCAAGGAGAAGACAGGCTTCGCAAGTATTATCTTTCCCTTGGGGCCCATTTTCTTGACGACTTCAGGGTTGAAAATACTCTAGTTTCAAAAAACAACACCCTAAAGTCTGTCTTTGTGTCGTGACTAAGCATGCCCAAGATGGCCACCGGAGGAAGTGCCTTCTCATTCCTGTCTCTCTCACCCTCAGATTCTTAGAGTCAGGAGCGATGCCCTGGCGAGTTGGGGGCGTGTAGGTGAGACCCTCGTCATTGCGGGGCGGGGGCGTCTCCTGTCTCAGCCTGCTTCCGAGCACGTCAGAGCTCCTCTTCCTAACTGCGTGCTCCCTTGCTGCTACTTCCTTTTGTCAAAAATAAAACCCTCTTACCATCATCCATGTAAAGATCTCCTACATATCTAAAATAGCTAAATTCAGGCATTTTTCCCCAGAGAAAGGATTGCCATTCATTTAACAATTCCTTGCCAAGAAAGACCTGTTTGTGAATTCGAGTAGTTTCCACTTCATTACTTCTTAGCTTTTCTCTAAGTTTAACTCGGCTTTAAGTTGTAGAAGCCCAGATGGCAGTTCACGTCCAGGGTGGCTACTGCTCACCTTCCAGCGCGAGCTGCCAGGGCACGAATGTGAGGGTTTGGTCTCAGAAAGCCCCGTCCCGTTATCACCGCTCGGGGCAGCCCACTGAGCTGGTGATGCCAGGATGTGGGATGGGCAGATGGGTAGACCTGTGCTCTTCACAGACATTTCTACATGCCAGATTTGGGGTTTTTTTGGAGAGGTTTTCGCTATAGGGCACATGCGCTCGCCAGAGAGACAGAGAGACAGAAAGCGAGAAATCACCCTCCAGGGGGATGACCATACTGTAACCCCCTCTCCTCCATTCTCCTCTCGGGATCTTGAGCACACACGCACATGCTCCTGGCATGAGTTTAACCGACCGGGTCCGGGCCTCGAACTGTGGTCGACTACGTGGAAGTCCAGCGACATAGCCATTACACCAACTGCTTAAACCAGCAGTCTTAAAAACCCAAAACCAACCCTCGTTCGTGCCGCTCACTGCCTTCTGTGCTGTAAGTACTCCTCCCGCAGTGCCAGTCCTGAAATAGCAGGAGAAGCCGACTCACAGGATCCCTGCAGCTCTAACCCTCAGCTGAGTGGGCCCGTGCCCGGACGTCGCTGACTGCACAGGCCAGCCAGCGTCCCTGGGCCTGCCCTCCACACGCCAGTGGGGTCCCCAGGAGATCCAGGGCGCTCAGCCTGGCTGGTATTTCTGGTGTGTGTGACCGCAGACGAGCAGGCGCTGCACCCCGGGCGGCCGATGCGACACCCTCGGTGTGGAGCCTCTGCTCATTTTTGCTGCTCCAGGGAGAGACGACCGCTCCGGACAGCTCTGCAGGGCTGTGCCTACCACTTCATAGGTCTGGCTGTGCCCTGCGGCGGGTCAGGAGGGAGCCCCTGCAACTCAGCACCTCTAGGCCCCGGGAGGCCGGGCAGCCAGTGTGGAGACACTTGCCCCTTGGCCCTCAGCTGTGGTCAGGGTACCAAGTGCCACTCCAATGAGGGAGTCCCGCACCTCAGGGCTGTCGCCTGCCCGTTTCACCCCCCGTGAGGGTAACTGTGGCCCCATTACTGAGTGGTCTGCGTCCTCTGGACCTGGGCTGCTGTTCAGGATGGGGCACAGAGGCCGAGCAGCAGACGGCCTCGGCCTCGTAGCGGGCCAGTGGCGTCAGTTCACGGGGCCCAGGAAAGCTGCAAGTTGTGAAAATAGCCCTAAATACTGACGCGGGTGCAGGGGGTGGGCCCAGCGAGTTTTCTGGAAGTAACAACTTTGGTTTAAACCCCGAGCTGCCAAGGATCAAAGGGCCTTTCTCTCCTCCTTAGTGCGTGCTGGGCTCTGAAGTGGCGGTGAGAGTGGGTGGAGAGTTCTTCTTCGACCCGCAGCCCACAGATGCCTCTAGAAACCTCGTGTTGATTGCCGGAGGAGTGGGGATTAACCCCCTGCTCTCCATCCTGAGGCACTCGGCGGATCTCCACAGAGCGCGCGTGGACGGAGGGAGCGGACCCGAGACTGGGACAGTAAAGCTCTTCTACAGCGCGAGGGACACGAGCGAGCTCCTGTTCCAGGTGGGGCACGCGCCGCGCTCCGGGGAGGCTGTGCGGCGGCACTGTCTGCAAACGTGTCTTCTCCGGGTTCGGTGTTCTCTGCAGAGGCTCAGACAAGACTTGGCGAGGGTTAAGCACGTTCGAATGAGAGTCCACAGTCTTACCCAGGACAGTAGAACTGCTAGTTTGGGCCAGTTTGGGGCATGCTGCTGAGGGCAGCTGGAGCTCGTGCGGCCAACTGCATGGTCCAAGTCCTGGAGCTGGCGGCTTGAAAAACACGCCGGGCCCTTGAACATGTGTGCCCAAAGCCCCTGGAGGAGACCGGCAGGGGTTGCAGCGTGGCCACCCCCCGGAGCTTTCTCTCCCTACCTCCCTGCCCCCCCTGGTAAGCGTGTGTGCCCTGAAACAACATTTTAAAAACAAAACCGAACTGCTCATTTGGAGGCTCTCGGTTAAGTGACAGGATAGGAGTGTGTGGCACAGTGGAACCTGAAGGTCGGAGCAGAAAAGTCACCGCAGGGCTGAGATTCTGGAAAGAGTCCAGAGACCTCCAGGTAGGCTCCTGCCTCCCAGGAGTGCGAGGGACCTGGCAGTCCGGACCCGGCCGGGCACCTGAAAGCCCCTTCTGTTGACGCCACAGTTGGCGGAGAAGGCTTTCACTCGGGGTTGCTCTGCAGCTGCAGGGATAAACAAAAGAACAGAAACAGTTAAAAGACGCAACGGTGGTCAGAGAAACTGCTGCTTAACTAGCGATGCTGAGGAAAAAGGGAAAAGACACTCCCGGAGAGTTGGGAAAGTGCTTGTGAGCATATTCCGAGTTCAATCAAAGCCCCGGTACTCCGAAGCGCGGGCCTGCGAGGCTGCAGGGTCCCCCTAAGCAGGGAGCGGCCGGCGGGCCGGGCCGGGGCGGGGGGGCACGCGCGCGCGGCACTGTCTGCAAACGTGTCTTCTCCGGGTTCGGTGTTCTTTGCAGAGGCTCAGACAAGACTTGGCGAGGGTTAAGCACGTTCGAATGAGAGTCCACAGTCTTACCCAGGACAGTAGAACTGCTAGTTTGGGCCAGTTTGGGGCATGCTGCTGAGGGCAGCTGGAGCTCGTGCGGCCAACTGCATGGTCCAAGTCCTGGAGCTGGCGGCTTGAAAAACACGCCGGGCCCTTGAACATGTGTGCCCAAAGCCCCTGGAGGAGACCGGCAGGGGTTGCAGCGTGGCCACCCCCCGGAGCTTTCTCTCCCTACCTCCCTGCCCCCCCTGGTAAGCGTGTGTGCCCTGAAACAACATTTTAAAAACAAAACCGAACTGCTCATTTGGAGGCTCTCGGTTAAGTGACAGGATAGGAGTGTGTGGCACAGTGGAACCTGAAGGTCGGAGCAGAAAAGTCACCGCAGGCCTGAGATTCTGGAAAGAGTCCAGAGACCTCCAGGTAGGCTCCTGCCTCCCAGGAGTGCGAGGGACCTGGCAGTCCGGACCCGGCCGGGCACCTGAAAGCCCCTTCTGTTGACGCCACAGTTGGCGGAGAAGGCTTTCACTCGGGGTTGCTCTGCAGCTGCAGGGATAAACAAAAGAACAGAAACAGTTAAAAGACGCAACGGTGGTCAGAGAAACTGCTGCTTAACTAGCGATGCTGAGGAAAAAGGGAAAAGACACTCCCGGAGAGTTGGGAAAGTGCTTGTGAGCATATTCCGAGTTCAATCAAAGCCCCCGGTACTCCGAAGCGCGGGCCTGCGAGGCTGCAGGGTCCCCCTAAGCAGGGAGCGGCCGGCGGACGTGTCCGGGATGGGAGGCCAGGCTCCGCGGCGGTGGCTGGGCACATCTGTTTTGACTTTTTAAATTGTAGTGTGACCAAGTATGTTTGACATTCCAGAAGAATATCCTCGATTTAGTAAATGAATTTCCGGAGAAGATTGCATGCAGTTTGCATGTTACAAAGCAGACGACACAGATCAGTGCCGAACTCCAGCCCTACATCACGGGTGAGTCCCCAGAGGTACCGGGACCGTCCGCGCAGTGACACGTGGACCCGCCGACGGCCGAGTGCAGACATTGTACTGGTGGGAGTTGTCAGCTGGGAATGTCACTCCCTGGGGATCGACGGGAAAGGAGACGTTTAGGTGGATTTCCTTATTACACAGATCGCCTACTGTCCATATTAAAAACATGGCGCCCCCTCCACATTCGTAGGGCCCCTGTCCTCACTGCAGTGCACGCGGAGAGCCGTACTCCAGCCTCGGCCGGATCTTCTCCCTCTGTCATTCGTGGTCGTTTGTGTGCCTTGTGGCTCTCCTGTCGGGGAGGACTTTGACCACACCGTTTATTTGCTTTGCTGAAGGCCGTAAGCGCTGGTCCTCTCTGAAGAGGGGGCTGTGCTTAGCTTCCCCTCTGCTGGCCGTGTCTTGGGAAGCCGAAGGGGCGCTCTCCTCCAGGCCGGCCCAGGATGTCAGCAGGAGCCCTGGCGAGGGTGGCTCAAGACTAGACCACGGGGACGCTGCTGAGTTGTCCTTCCTCGTTTCGGAAGACACGTGCCTGGCTTCATTTGGTATTTATTCTGTTTCTGACAGAAGGAAGAGTAACGGAGGAGGAGATAGGAGGTCACATCTCAGGAGAGACTTTGTTCTACATCTGTGGCCCACCTCCGATGACGGACTTTTTCTCCAAGCAACTGGAAGACAGCCATGTTCCCAAAGAGCACATTTGCTTTGAGAAGTGGTGGTAGGGGGTGGGCAGAGGCAGAAAGAGGAGGAGTGATGCCCACTCTGGGCAGGAGGAGAGGCCCTGTCCTGTCATCTGCAGCAGGTGGGTTCGCCTCCGCCCGAGCGGAACGTCAGCCGGCAGACCTCAACCCTTTGCAGAGGCTGCACGGATGAACTATTTTTCACTATATTGATTTTCTCTTATTGATAACTATGCAGTTCCTCATGAACTATGAATTGGTCAATACAGGTTTTTCTTCTGCCCTTAGCGGGGAGAAAGGGATGTTTAAATTAACTGTAGGAAACGCGGTTTTATGCACGAAGGGTAGGCTGTCTAAGGTATTTCAGAGTGATCCATAGAGCTTGTATACAGTGAACTCACACTTTAAATACACCCGTAATCAGTTCACGTTGCAGTCTGGAATTTAATGCTGCAGCTTACGTTCCCACGGCCTGCAGCCTTACGTACTGGGGCCCTCCGAGCTCAGTTTGGAAACGGAAGGTCGTTGGGAAGACCACCAGGGCTGACGACCCCACGTGCTCGCTTAATGGACGTCCCACGTGTGTACCCTGACCTCCACGCTCAGGGGAGCCCCGCGGTGTCTCGGCTCCTGCCTTCACGCTGCGGGAGGCAGCCTCTTGTTGACAAAGGCGTCGGTGCCGGTTGTGTTCCTGTCGCACCTGCCCTCAGTGGCTGGCTGCTGGGAATGTGTTTAGGCTGACGAGGGGGTACGGAGCTGGTTCTGAATTTTGCTTCTCCACGGTCACTTCACTGCTTTGCCAGGGCCGTTCCTGGCTCAGCGGCTGCCTACCACACACCGGTTGAAGGGCCGGAAGACAGCAACTAACTTATCCTTACTAAGTCTGCTGTGATCCGAGTCTCGGCGTGAGCAGAGATCATTTGCCACCCACAGGGATCCCCGACTAGAATTCAGCCTGGGGGAGGGTGGGGCCGCTGACTTGACAGGAACCCTGGGCAGCTCAGGACACGTCACCGGCGTCCCAGAGCTGAGGGTGGAGAAGCTCCGGTCGCGACCAGGAGCCCTGACCTACTCGTTGGTCCAGGTGGGCTGGAGACCGGGCTTCAGGGCTGAGTACTGGGGAGCGCAGCAGCCCAGCAGGATGAAGTCCAGGCTGAGGTGGCAGCAGGGACCCGAGGTGCGGGCGATGCAGAGCCCCGGCCACCGTGTGGGCATGGAGGAGCCGCGGACGTGTTCGGTGCAGCGTGGGGCGGGAGCACAGGCGGGCTGCCCACGTCTCTGCCCACCCAGCACCTGGACGGACGTCCCTGTGGTCGGGACCTAAGCCACCTGCTCTGGAGGCTTTGGCTCCACCTGTCACCCTGCCGCCAGGTCACTGTCGCCGACCACTGCCGAGACGGGCCCTTGGCCGGCCTCTGAGGAGTGCTGTGCCGTCTGGCTGTGCTGAGTGCGGGGCGGGAGTGATCTGTCACCCCACCCGCCAAGCTGGACCGGATCTCGGTGCTCGGACTGAACTCACGCTAGCCGGGGCAGCTTGGACTTACCCTGAGGGCTGCGAGTAGACTCCAGGGAGCCCTTGGGCCAGGCTGCCCGGGTTCGAGTCTCGGCTTTAGGCCTCCCCTGTAAAGTACGCCTGTGGGCGGGAGATGGCGCCACGCCCCCTGCGCGGGCCGCGTGGGCATGAGATGCCATCGGGCACGCTGGGAGGGCGCTGCGTCGGGCCCATTTTTAACTGTGCCTTGTCCTATTCAGAAAGGGTCGCAGCTGGCTGGTGGCCGAGAGGGGCCTCCATGCAGGGCTCGGTCTCGCTCAGCCTGTGCTGTCTCAGAATAGTGACCTCACACTGTCACGCGGGTAAAGGGCGAGCCCGAGCTGATAAGCTGGCGGAAAGGACTTTTCCAGGGGCCTCCTGACCCCGTGAGTTTGTGGGTTCTTCTGACGCGAGACCTTTTCACAGCGGGCTCAAGGGGCGCGGGTAATCTGATAGACGAGGCCCGCGCTGTGTCGGTTCCAGTGCTCACCAGAAAATGGAGCAAACCCCTGCCCCCCACGTAGTTTTCCATCAAGGGGGCTTTCGGGAAGGCAGGGCGTCCCTGGTCACTGACACCGTGTCTGCAGGCGGAGGTGGGGCCCGAGGTCAGGTGTTCCTAGGACCCTGGTTCTTGTTAGTAACCCTTAAATAAATGTAAAAAAGGCTTATGGGGAATTTCAAACATGTCCCAAAGCAGAGGAGGTCAAATGCGTTCCTGTGCAGCTGTCGCCCCGCTTCAGTGACCGTCACATCCTGCTACTGGGTTTTGTCGGGCCTCACCTCTGCACTGCTGCTGTATACTAAAGCAAGTCCTGGAGACCACGCCCACGTGAGCTGTGTGTCTGTAAGGGGTCAGTCGCCTGCCACTCCGTAGCACTGTCGAAGGCCCTCGGTCTTTTTTGCCAGAGGGTGCGCTCGCCGGAGAGACAGAGACAAAGAGACAGAAAGCAAGAGATCTCGAGGAGATCTCTTCTCTCGGGATCTTGGGCATGCACGCACACACGTGTTTTTAAGCCGCCGGGTTTGGGATCTGAACCGCGGTCAGCTGTGCGAGTCCAGCTACGTAACCATGATGCCATCCGCTGGGCCCATCTGCCCCACTTCTAAAGTTAGGATGGGTCAGTGGCTTCGGCTTTTGTCAGCCCGGTCCATCCAGTACAAAGCTCTCCATGAACTTTTCACCTAGTTATCTCAGCCCCTGAGCACTGCCCTATCTGTTCCTTCTCGGTCCATTACCCGTTTCGATCCGTTCTGCTTTATTACCCGTGACGCTTCTCTACACAACTCCCCGATCAGCCTGGGTAACCCCGACAGGAGCCCGTAAAGGAAATGCAGCCCACGCGTGGTCTTCCGCCTGCCAGCGAGGGGCTGTGCCTCAGCAGCCTCCCGAGGGCGGGGCGCTGTTCCGCTTCTCTACGTCTGGCCGTTGTCACCCGCTGCAGCCCGCTCCCCTTCCTCTCTGCCCTGTGGTGTCAGCTGCCCCCATCACGTGGGTGGGTGAGGCGTGAGGCTCTGAGAGGTGCAACAGTGCTCCAGTAACGGGCAGGAGGGAAGGCGGTGAGTGAGGTGGCGTGATGGCTGTGTCGCTGGACTCCCATTTTGTCAACCATGGTTCAAGTCCCAGACCCGGTGGCTTAAAACTCAGCCAGGCACGTGTGCATGCATGTCCAAAATCCTGAGAGGAGAATGGAGGAGAAGGGGTTGTGGTGTGGCCATCGCCCCTGGGGGGTGAATTCTCGCGTTCTGTCTCTGTCTCTCCTTCTGGTGAGCACACATGCCCTATAGCAAAAACCTCTCCAAAAAAAGAGTCTTAAAAAAAGAAAGAAATATATTACATACTGAGAGCATTTCAACAAGACTGAAAGGAAAAATGCCCAGGGGAAATGTTTCGGCACGTGCCACTGGCTGGAAGGGCAGCTGTAGAAGCCGCATGACGGGTGAGTCACCGGGTGATGGTGTCCTGTGGGTGACGGGTGGCAGGGGGTGGCCAAGCAGTTGCACCCATGCTTCAAAGGCAGTGCTCAGGAGGGCCTGCACCACCAGTGCCTGAAGGGTGCATACACGCATCGTGCGAATCCTAATACACGCGTGCGTGCAGTGACTGTCAAGCGGCCCAAGGTCATGTTCTGCTGAGTTTTTTTTTTTTTTTCTTTCTCAATGGAAAACAGCAATTTCCTTCATTTCTGGGTATTGCAGATGATCATATGCTGATAATTTAACCTGAGGGCCATTGTTTCATTTTATTTAAATAGAACTCTAAGTATACTGTTTTCGTCTTAGAAAAAAAGTAGTGAGGTGTCTTTCACATTACCCTTCCCTGGGGTGAGCGGAAGCCGCTCGCACGGTGGTGACCTACGATCGCTGATAGCCCACTCTCAAATCAAGGCATGCGCTGTGAAATGTCTTGTGCTCAGGAATGCAAACCTGCCTAGCTTTTGAGCGGCCATGTTGGCCAGGTCTGTTCTGAGTTGTTCAAGACCTGCAGGAGCCCATGAGTGTGCCTCGGCCCCCCATCTTACCTACCCATTTTGCTGTAACAGATTCTTCCAGTTTCCGGGTAACTGCGACCGCCGAGAACTTGCATATGAGGTTATGTACACTGAAATGCTGAGGGGCTCCCCTGCGCACTCCCGTCGCCTCACCAAGGACCCACTGCAGAGAGCTTGTCCTTCAGGACGTTCCATGGGGTACGCCCTCGTGCACACGTTCGGCGGAGCTTGCTATAGACCTCGCTTCTAACACACGCCGTTACGGGTAGATGCTGCCGTGTGCGTAACCGTGTCTCTGTGCTGGACGCTTAGGTTGTTCAGTTTGGGGCTACTACAGACAGTACTGCAGCAAACAAACGTGTTCATACCATTTCGTGCACGTATTTCTGCGGCCACACCGCAGTTCCTTCTCCATTCTCCTCCTGGGGTTCCGGACATGCACACACGTGCACCTGTCGTGCTCAGGCATGTGGGAGTCCAGTGCCTTACCCACCACCCCACGCGCTGGCTGTGATGGGACAGACCGGTAATGGCTGGCTTGAGGTCACATAGCCGGCGAGAGTGACAAAGCCAAACTTACATGGTTGTCCTCCTCTCCTAATAAACGTCCTTTATAGACTCTCACCCCACCCCCAGGCTCGTCCCCAAGCCCTCCGTACCACCAGCGGGTGGTTCTCCCCCACTGTCTGGAGGCCCTGTGAACCCAAACACCCATGACTAGAGAAGTCTAGTTGCCAGTGCTGTGTTCTGTTCTAAGCTGGCGAGGCTCTGTTCTGCGGCTGTAGGGGACACGATGAGGCAGATGGGCTGCCTGCGCGGTGTGGTGTGGGAACGTGGCACCACACATCGAGGACCTTGCTGGCTGCGTGACTCGAGCATGTCCCTGGGACCAGCCTTCCGTAGCAAGTGGCTGGGGCCGTGCAGTTTACAGCCCCTCGCAGCTTTACCGCCCTGAGGTTCACGACGGGAAGTGGGCCGTAGGGACGAAGGCTAGCTGAGGTTGACGGTTCAGATGCGCAGTGACCACGGAGCGTCCCACGGCCTCCAGTACGGGACGCGTCGCGGCAGGGCCTGTCGTTTGCATCTTCCGTGTGGATGGAGAGGAGGAAGTTGTCTCGGACGGAAGCAAGGGGGAAGTTCGGTTTGATGTAAGGGACTTTAACTGATTAAATTCTGCAGCCGGGCCCAAGAGAAGTGGCGGAAGCGCCATTAATAAGAACTAAAACTGACATTTTCCTGGAGGGTTTTAAGGTGGCCTGGACTGAGACAGGGGCTGATAGCTCCCCAGCTTCACAGAAAGGAAGTTTTCAGCAGTTACTACTTAGGCGTTTTGTGGTTCCGGAAACTGCTAAGCTTGCTGGTTGGTCTTCTTCTAAGACGGTTTTCTTGTTCCTTTCATTAAAGAATAAACAAGATAGGAGATGCCCAGGGTGGAGGTTCAGGAACACGTGGGTTCATTACAGCAAGCACTGATATGCTCACCTTGACGAGTCAAGTGTGCGTGTGCGTGTGCGTGTGTGTAATTGCTAGAGGGCCTATGTACTTTCGAGGGAGAGAGAGAGACAGGGAGGGGAGAAATCACCCCAAGCAGGGCGTGGTCGTGCCACCTTGCCGCCTCCCTGTCTCCTGCTGGGATTTGGACACGCGCACACAGCAGCCTCCGGGGCTGGATCCAAACCGTGGTCAGCCACGTGGGCTCTGGCTTCCTTAACCACTAGGCCATGAAGCCAGCCTGCGTGAAACACTGCGCTGCTGGAAAAGTCTGGCATGCTTTTCTATGCACACGTGTGTGATGACTTCTCCGAAACCCAGTATATTTCTTACCACCATTAAGTCTTTATCCGGTTTAGAGGCAGCAGAAAAAATCCGACTTCAGCCCGACCACGTTGCTGCCTTCTCAGCGCCTGGCACGGTGCGGGGACTGAACCTGGGTCTGTGGTGACTGCACCCACCCGCATGCCCCCATGAACACAGGCCTCACCAGCCCCGCTGCTCTGCTGGAAGAAAGTGCCGGCTGCGCTTCCTGCAGGGCGAGTGGCGAGCACCAGCCTGCAGACCCCCTTGGCATCCTCGGTGTGGCCCGGCGATGACTGCCATCAGCACGGACCGTGGAGGGTCGTGGAGTCGGCAGGAACCGTGGAGGGTTGTTCAGGCCCATGACCCTCTCAGGATCTTGGGCATGCACACACGTGCCTGGTGTGAGTGTGCCCCAGGGCCTGGGACTCGAACCGCGGTCGACTACATGGGAGTCCAGTGATGTAACCATCACGCCATCCGCTGGTCCCCCGACTTCACGTGTAATGCACACTGCCGTGAGCTGCAGCGGGATCGGACCAGGGTGTGCTGCGGCCTACATCCCTGTGCTCCTGTGCCGGGCACCAGCTCGCCCACGGGGGGCTGCGGGGGTGGTAAGCATGGGGTCAGCAGATCCCTGCAAACGACACTGCGGTCTGAGAGCCATTCCTGGCACGTTCTCGGCCAAGATCGGCCACCACTGCTGTCTCGGGTCGAGGGCCGACGGAACATGTGGCAAAACCCTGAGACGGTCCCTGTGAGGGCTGTGGGGAAGCTGCTCCCAGCAAGCATCGGCGACCATGGCCCGTGGTCACCTTAGCGATCTGACAGAGCTCAGACCAGGATGCAAGTCAGGACACTTCTACTTAGAACCCGGCGAATCGGCTGCCGCTTCGTCAATATTCCCACGTCATCTCCGTTAGTTAAGGGATGCACTGGGCTCCAGGAAGAGGCTCCTCCAACGCTCGGTGGCTCAACAGGCAAAGGTTTACTTCACGCCCGTGTCATGGTCTACCAACCATGCCAAGGGAGTTGGGGATGAAGGCTGAAGGTCTTGTGACGTTATTTATATCATATATGTGTGTGTGTATATAAAGTTACATATATACATATATATACATATTTTGGAGATTTTTGCTGTAGGGCACATGTGCTTGCTGGAGAGACAGAGACAGAAAGTGAGAAATCACCCCCAGGGGAGATGGCCACGCTGCAATCCCTTCTCCTCCGCTCTCCTCTCGGGATCGGGTGCACACGCACATGCACCTGGCACTGTTTCAAGCCGCGAGGTCCAGGGCTTGAACCCTAGTTGACCACGTGGGAGTCCAGCCCAGAGTGTAGGAGGGGTGGAAGTACAGGCGCCCGGGGGTGGGGCGAATACTCACAGCCCTGCCTGCTCTGCCACCTTCCTGCCTGACACTCGGGGGCTCTGACATGGCACTTTGCACACACCCTTGCTCATAAAAACCCTATCAGGTGGGTGCCGTCGGCCCTTCACACTGAGACGGCCCTCGGAGATGCCAAGTTAGCCGAGATTACACATGTGGGTTGTGAGCAGCTGGCGTCCCGGCCGGCTGAGGTGGGCCGTCCCATGCACCACGCCGCTTGGTTCCCAGGTTCGCTCTTCTCCGCCAGCGCCTCGCCTGCGTGGAGTGTGCACCTGCACCCAGCTCTGATCTGGTGGGATTCCTGAGCCTCCTCTTACTGCCAGCGCCATGCTGAACTCCACCCGCCATGGGTCCCTGACCTCTCGGTAAAGGTGGGTCTTAAACACACTCTCTAGTGGGCCCAGCAGATGGCATAATGGTTACGTCCCCGGACTCCATGTAGTCGACTGCAGTTCGAGTCCCAGACCCGGTGGCTTAAACTCAGGCTGGTGCGTGTGCGTGCGTGCCCAAGATCCCGAGAGGAGAATGGTAGAGAAGGGATTGCAGCATGGCCATCCCCCTGGGGGCTGATTTCTCGCTTTCTGTCTTTCTGGCATGCAAGTACATGCACCCTATAGTAAAAATCTCTCTTAAAAAATACATAAAAACGCTTTCTAGGGAAGGACTCCGAATTCAGCCAGTGTCGTGGGGCGACCCACTTCGGTCACCTGCTCACCCTCCGGAGCTCGCGGTCCTCATGGACACACTGTGGCAGCTGCCGCCCGGGACTGACAGCCCCGCACAGACCCCTCTGCAAGCCCCGTGAGTCTCTGAGCTGCTGGTTACGGGGCTAGGGAGACGGTGGGCCGATGTTCCCTGCCACTCTTTCTCCCTTACCCACATATAGATTTCTAACCATTGGGAACCAGCAGTTAGCGTAATGGCTATGTCGCTGGACTCCCACGTAGTTAACCACGGTTCGTGTCCCGGACCCGGTGGCTTAAAACTCAAGCCGGGCGCGTGTGCGTGTGTGCCCAAGATCCCGAGAGAATGGAGGAGAAGGGATTGTGGTGTGACCATCCCCCCTGGGGGTTGATTTCTCGCTTTCTGTCTCTATGTCTCTCTCTGTCTGGCGAGCACACGCGCCCTATAGCGAAAACCTCTCAAAAAAAAAAAAAAGAAAAGCCCATGCAGGATGTTGGCCTGGGCTCCTCACAGTTGTAGAAAGCAATTCATTTCATAAGGAACAAGCCGGGATGATTCGCAGAAATTCTGTGGCCAGGACCACTCAACCTGAGCCGCACCTTAGGGTCCCCAGGGCACTTTTCAAAAATTCTGCTGCCGGGCCACGCCTGAGGCTGGCTACTCGCAGGCCCAGGGGGCGGGTCTTGGCAGTGGTATTTTAAAGCTCCCTCAGTAACCCCAAGTACAGCCAGTTTGAGATGCTCCCTGCAGCCTATTTCACCAGTCAGCAGGGGTGACAGAAGCAGGGGGAGACAACAAGACCTTTAGGAATTATCTGTTGGCCTGACACTGGGGCCAGCCTCCCTGAGGATTCGCATTAGCTGGTCACCTTTAGCTTTGTCCTGCGCCAACACAAAGTTGTTTAATTACTGAGAAATGCACCAAGGCGGAGTGGTGCTGGCCCCAGCGCGGGATTACTCGGCGAGGCTCGAGGGTGGTTTGTCGCTCCCGGCTCTGACTCGTGTATGTCTATTTTTTTCAAGCTTGATCTTTTAAGATATATGCCAAGAGATATTTTTATTAAACCAAAATGCTATCTAGATACTAGTAACCAACTATAATTATGGAAAATGTCATTTCCTTGAGCAAAGCCTTGGGCTCGTTCACGCTGAGGGTTGGGGGAGTCTGCCGGGAGGAGAGGACTGTGATGTGAGCGCTCCAGGGTTTCGGTTCTGTTCTGTGAAAACGTGTTGCCAGGCCGCTGTGGCCCTGCGCCCACAGAGCTACCGGGTTCAAATCCTGACCTTAGCGCTAACATACCGGGCGCACGCCTCACGCAGGATCCTGGCGGGAAGGCCTGGAGGAAAGGGCCTTGTGGTGTGGCCAGGCCCCCGGGGACGCGCTCTCTCCAGTGTGCGTGCTGTGTTTGCACATGCACCCCGCGGCATTAAAAAACAAAACCAAAAGCAGATGATACATACTGGGTTGTCGGAGAAGTCGTGATGTATTTTTTGTGTGTATAAACCTGTCATGGGACCAGCAGTTGGTGTAATGGCTGTCGCTGGACTCCCATGTAGTTGACAGCAGTTCGAGTCCTGGACCTGGTGGCTTAAACTCACACTGGGCGCACGTGCGTGTGTGCCCAAGATCCTGAGAGGAGAATGGAGAAGGGATTGCAGTGTGGCCATCCCCCAGGGGTGATTTACCGATTTCTCTCTCTCTCCCTCCCTTTCTCCCCCTCCTTGTTTCTCCCCATCTCCCCCTCTTCTCCTCTCCTTTTCTCCCTCTCCTCTCCCCCAACCTTATAGCAAAAAATAATTAAAACTCTTGAAAATGATTAGAAGTTGATGTGTGTTTTCTATCGTTTTAAACCGAGTATCTTCCCCACTCCAAGCCTGGGAGGCGGTTGTGACCCCGCTTTCCCAGTGGCCTCAGAACCCACTCCCCCTTTCTACGAATGGCTGGGAGGGCTCGGCCTCTTGCCGGCCCCCGTCTCCCAAAGGGGCCACGCTTTCTCCCCAGGTCGTGCTTCCAGGGTTAGACGCTGACCAACAGTGAACGGGGCGGGGACAACAGGCCAGGGCTTGTCACTGCCACGATAAATACTCTCCCGATGCACTCAACTCATAGGTGATTTATTGCTTTAAGTAACCAGACAAGCAAGGAGACGGGCTGACGCTGGGTGAAGGCAGTCGGCATCCTCTCTCCAAGGTTCGCCACTTGCCTCTACTTAAAGCCTCAACGATACTTTCCAGACAGCAGAAACACACGGCGGCCACGGCATCCGTGGGCGGCCACGTGGCCAGTGAGAACACCGATGGACGAGAACAGCACACGACGAGGACACCCAGCCACTCTGGGTGCCCTGAACCGGCAGGATCTGGGTTCACGGGGTGAATACGCAACCTGTGACATTTTTGGCGTTCGCACTAACACAGGGTACTTCCTCGAACATCTGCTGGAGCAGGTGCAGAGGGTCCGCTCTCATGTCGACCGCAGGATCTACAGGACTTCTGTGAGAAGAGCTGGAGGTGGGCACCTCCCTCCCAGCGCCATCTCTTTGCCAAAGCAACAGTCTGAGGGTTTAGGGGAGCAGACGGCAGCTGGCAGGGCTCTGGAGCTGGTAGGAGCCACTCAGTAGCCGCACACTGCAGCCGAGGGGCACTGGCCTGCAGGGTGTGGGAGTGGGCCAGGCCCTGGTGGTCACCAGGTGTGTCCAAAGATTCCCCCATGTCCCCAGGGCTGCGGGGCAGGGGCAGGGGCAGGTGCAGGCACCGAGCAGTCCAGACCGGCCATGGAGGGGCGGCGCGGCCAGGCCTGGGCCCCCAGCCTGGTCTAAGAGGAGCCGCCTGGTCCTTACATTCTACAGGGTCGTTAGGACGCCTTTCAAAAGGATGTGCAGAAACCAACCGTCAGGGACCGGTCCTGGAGGGCCGGGAGGTCACAGGTCACAGAAGAGGCCAAGCGAAGCCAAGGGGTAACAGGTGACTGGGGCAAACCAGTCTAAACCAGCGGTCGCCAGACACCGAGTCTGCCAACTCCAGCTTTGGTGCCCGCGCCTGGGCCTCAGTTTCCCGCCGTGCTGGGCTCCTCGTCGCCCCCCTCTGCGGCATCCTCTGCAGGGTCGGGGTGCCTGGCGCAGCCCCCCGGGGCCCTGCTGTGGCCGGCGGGCCCATTCTGCACAGCACCTGCCTCCTGCTCGCCCTCCGGGTCAGGGCCCCGCACCTCGGAGCCGCTGTCTCCCTGCAGCGCCCCCAGCTCCCCGCTGCCCACGGCTCTGCTGGGCTCCTCGGCGCTCTTGTCCGCGTCCTCGGCCCGCGCGTCCCGGGCGCCCAGCTGGCCCTTGGACTTCCTCGCGCGCCGGCTGCGCACCTCCTCCCGGGAGAACCGCCACTGGAACTGGAAATCAGAGGCGACAGTCAGCCGGGCCCAGCCCAGGGCCTCGCCCGCAGGCTGATGGCGACCACCCGCGCCAGGCCCAGCTCCCTCTGAGCCTTCGTCTCTAACGTGAGACCAGGAGGGGAGGGTCTTCGCACCAGCTCCACCTCGGCCTCAGGCCCCGCCTGCATAGCCAGACAGCCTGACTGCTGAGCCCCCAGGGCATTGAGATGTGGGTTTGGGGCTGCCCAGATCCCAAGAGGAAAAGGGATTGCAGCTGGCCATACCTCCTGGGGTGATTCTGTCTCTGTCTCTCTGGCAAGAGCACCTGCCCTATAGCAAAACTCTCCAAAAGAAAAGAAAAAAGAGGAAAAGGAAGAAAGACGTGGCTTTGAGCTGAGGGGCAGGAGGATGGTTTTTTTATACTTGCCCCAGCCCCACACCAAGGGGGTCCTGAAATGCTACCACTTGGGGAGGTGTGAGGCCGCTCCCTGCGGGCGGGACTGCGGACTCACCCCGCCCCGGCTGTGGGTACGGGGACCCATTTCCTCGTCTCCAGAGCTTCCTGGGGGGTGACAACTGCGTCACAGCCCACCTTCTCACTCCCATGCCCACAGGGTTCCGAAGGATCCCCTTGAAAACCGTTCTCCACCCAGACCCTTCAGCGGGGCCCAGAAAGCCGACCCACAACCGAACATCTCCCGCGTGACAAAGTCGGCAGACTCAGGACCAAGGGCGCAGCCGGTAACGGACAAGCACGCGGGTCTTTGGGGCTCAGAGCGGGAGTCCCGGCTCCACCGCCCGCTCAACTCGAGGCCAAATTCCTCGACCTGCATCCTCTCAGTGGCCCCCGACACAGAGGCCACGTCCCCCTGCTCCGGCTGCACCTGCTGGCTGTCCCAAGTATGTGCTTAAACCTTAGACAGCCGTGACTGAAAAACACCCAAGGAGCCCTTGGCTGAGGACCTCCCGCTGGGCTGGAGCAGCAGGCCCAGGAATGCAGTTGCGCCACCCGCGGGAAGCGGCTTCTCCAGGCTTTACCACATTGTAAGCAACTGAGCGCTCGGCAGGGAGACCCAAACCGCCATGCACATTTTAAATCTGCCACCTCTGCAGAATTGCCGAGGGAGAGACGTGCTTCCTCAAAGGGACCATTTGCCTAGCCACAGGGTTCGGAGACTTAACACTTCACGGGAGCCGGCCGAGCGCTTCTGGGACAAGACCGGCAAGCGGGAACATTCCCCCAACTAGAGAAAGCGTGAATACCTGCTCAGGTTTACCCCAGCTCCTCCCGCCCAGCCCCAACTCCTCCACGAGCCCACTTGGGGTACTGGGGACGGCTGAAGCGGTGGCCACCCCAGCTACGGGTTCCCAGCAAGGAGTCACGCCAGGCCAGGTGGTGCCCACGCAGCCCAGACGGCCACGTAGCAGCTCAGGCCTCCCCGTGACCAAGCTGCCTCCAGTGCTGACCCCCCAGTCTTGGGCACCAGATTATTGATGGCTTTTTTTTGGTCTGTGTGTGTATTTAATGTCAGAGAGAGAAAGACTCTTCAGGGGGGCCTGGTCCCCTGGAGGTCGGCAGTTGCTACACATACTCATTGAGTCAGTGAAGGGGTCCTGCCTCTCCCCAGGGCTGGCCTACAGTGTCGGTGGGGCTGAGGAGGTGTGTAGGCCAGCCCTGGGGAGAGGCGTGCCACAGTCCCTTCCCCATCCTCCTCTGGGACCCTGGGCACACACCCAGTGTCTTCCGAGCCGTCGGGCTGCAGACTCGCATCATGCAGTTGGCCACCGCTTGGCCCTGGGCACGGCCATATTGCAGGCAGTATCGAAGTCTCTGAGCTCAACCAATGGGCCACAGGCAGAAGGCTCACCCAGTGGGGCTGTCCCCAAGCCAAGAGCACCCATGGCACCTGGGGGAGCCACTGCACCCAACTAACCCCCGCGACCAGAAATAACTGCGGAAGGGAAGGCACCCCGGGCTCCGAGCAGCGTATCCAGGGCTCTGGGTGGGCAGGGGGTGGGCTCGCGGGTTTACTTTGCATGCTGTGAGAAGTGTCCTTACAAGTCTGCTTCGAGTGGTTTAGGGAGAAAGGAAGACTTCCCCGGGGTTGTGGAAATCACCTCTTCCCTTTGAAAAGAGTTGAGTGTTTGCTTTGAAAATCACGTGCACATGCACAGAGGTTCCTTTCAAACGCTGAAAAGTCTTGATTAGAAAATGCTGATCCCGTTGCTGAGTAAAGAGGACAGTACGAATGCCAGCCATGTCCCGGTGTGCCAACCCTACGATTTCTGTCCCGGAATCTCAGTGCTAGACATGATGCGCGGTGTGATGCCCCCTCACTGACTCGAGTACATGCAGCACCGGCTGACCTCCAGGGGCCGGCGTGCCGCGGCCGGGGGGCCTTGCCGGACACCGGCCTGACGGCCCAGAGAAGACGGTGAGCGGTCTCGACAGCCAGCACCCAGAGGGGCACTGAGAGGGGCTGGTCTCCTCCAGGGCATGGCACAGGAGCCGGCTTGTCTGCAGGAGAGGGTGCTGCCCTGAGAGGGTAGGGCCAGAGAGCAGACTGGGCACAGCAGCCACCGAACCAGGGCTCCTGCCAGGGCTGAGGCCAATGGAGCGGGCGATGGTGGGCCGAGGGGCTCAGTGGGGGAGCTATACAGGGTCACACCGGGGTTCTGGGCAACAGGGCAGACTTCCACCTTTATCTTCAGAGTACTACATGGGGCCAGCAGGGTTCGGCAGATGGTGCAACGGTTACATCTGCAGTAACCCACTACAGTTCGAGTCCTGGACATGGCGGCTTAAAGCTCATGCCGGGCGCGTGTGCATGTGTACCCAGAATCCCGAGAGGAGAATGGAGGAGAAGGGATTGCGGTGTGGCCATACTCCCTGGGGGTGATTTCTCATTTTCTGTCTCTGTCTCTCTGGCAAATGCACACACACCTTGTAGCAAAAAATCTGAACATAAAAAGCTACAAAGCCGGGGGCAGTGGTTCGGCGGTAAGAGACTGGAGCTGCGAAGGCAGGTGATGGGAGAGAGGAGTCAGGGACCTCCGAGGACAGCCTGGCCTGAGGTCTCCGTCGCTCGCTGTCACTAGGTGTGTGAAGAAAGGTCTCTGGCAGGGTCTCTCTGCCAAGATAGGCAAATCCTGAGGTCCCAAGGGATCTAGTGGGCAGGTCAGAGCTCGGGCCAGCTTGCAATGACAGTGAGATGAAGGGACGGTGGCCGTACTCCAGCCACCACCCCCATCAGATGGCAGCCGATGCAGGCCCTATTTTTAGCCTGGAGGGAATCCCTGACTTGCTTGAGAGTCCAGAAGAACCTCTGTCCTCTGTCCTTCTGGCCAGGCCAGCAGGAGACTGGCAGACAAGGCCTTCCCACCTACACCCGTCCTGCCGTGCCAGACTCAGAGCCCTCGGGGGATGGAGCAGGCTGCCCACCAGCCGCAGAGGGACCCGGGGAAGGCCTCAGGGCCTCTCACCTTGGAGTCCTTCTTCTTGGATTTCTGAGGTAGACACGGTCTCTGGAGAAAGACAACCTGCTTGGTGGACACGCTCCCGTCCCTGAAACACACGGGCTGCGGATGAGTCGCATTACTCCTGGAGGAGCCCCAGCCCGGCACAGACGTCGCAACCCTAACCTCGTTCAAGCAGACCGCCCGCCCCGACTGAGAGGTTAGAGGGCACGCAGACCCCGCTCCCCGCCCCCGCCAGGCCGTCGCCCTTGTTCCCTGGCGCCGTCTCCGATGCCCAACAAAAAGCCTTTGGGGTGTCCTGTCATGGTCAAGTGAGGACAGGCTGGCTGTCCCCGAACCTCCCAGGAGACTGTCTGGAAATGACGCCGGGGTGCGTGGGGAACAAGGGCCGGCGTGATACGTTGGCCTCAGCCATTTCGGCAACAGAGCAGAGGTCACGGCCGCAGACGGGGGCTCGGGCTCGCCAAGACCACTCCGCTATGCCAGGCAGCGAGGCTGAGCACTACCCACGGGCTGGGCGGCCCTCTGAACGGCGCCGAGTGCCCCTTCCTCCAGGGAGGCCGAGCCCCCCGAGCCGCCCTGAGAGATGATGGGAGTTCTGCAAAGGGATTCCCGTTCCCCCACCTCCACCTTCTGGTCTCTCTGATCGACGGGACTTTCCCTCTTCTCTTCTCCTTGCCCCCAGTTTCTTCCCGTCTCTTCTCCCTCCCCTCCCCTCCCCTCCCCTCTAGCTTAGCACCGGGTACATAGGCGGTGCCTCTAGGGCCCTGGACCCCCTCTGCCCAGGTGGCCGAGTCACAGGCTGAGCCCCCACATGGGAAGAGGGGTGCAGGGAGCACTCTCGGGGCGATGGGAAAGACTGAAGCCTGGCTCCACCACTTGCCGGTGGCAGAGGTTACGTGACTGCGTCACCCTACAGGTGCGTCTGTCACAGGATGGAGCTCAGGACGAGAAGGGGTGCTGCGGGGCGGTCGGGGCTCGGGCACGGCCACGCCGCGTTACCTGGTAGTTCTGACCACGGGAGTCGGCAGCACGCAGGTCAGCTGCCAGCCGTAGGCCGCCAGCGAGCTCAGCAGGGGCACGTAGTCAGTCCGCACCTCGGCACCCTGCGGGGGAAGGCCACGTTAGGAGGCTGCTCTCAGGCGCCAGCCCGCGTCCCCTGGGAGACCTGAGACCCAGAGGACTGGCATGGCTTCCACCTCTCCTCGTCATAGCGATGCCACTGGGTGCCAGTCCTCTCGTGGAAGTCTTCTCTGTTCCTGAGCTGCTGCAAGCCACTCCCCAAGCAACGGGGGCTGCTCCATCTTCCACCTTGACAAGGCAGAAAAGGTGGCCCCTGCAGCCTGGAGGCCCTGCCTTGACACCTGCCGGAGAAGTAGGGAGTTTGGAACTAAAGTTCCAGCGGGGTTCTTTGTAGGCCCCAACTCGGTCTGTGCGGCCGGCTACGGGTTAGAGCTGAACAATCACTCCAATAACTTACGCCTGCCTGGGCAGAGCCGCCCGTGAGCCTCACTGAGGCACACCCGCCCTGCCGCGCAGATGCAGTCCAGGCACACGACAGAGCGAGTCGGGGAGCGGAACCACATCTGACGGGAGACCGGGTCGGCGGCATCCAGCCACGGCACGACGCACCAGTCCCCCGCACACACGCCCCTTCCCGTGTTACGTCCCGCCCTGTGGGGGCGCGTGGACTGCCGTGTTTACTGTAAATCGGCAACCGGGCGCTCACGTGTGGTGCTCAGTTGAACTCGGCCCTGCTTGCACAGGGAGAGGACCCGTGCAGTCCCACGCAGGGCTCTCTGCCAGGGCCCCTCGCGACTCCGGGGTCCTGGCTGGAAGGAAGGCATGGCCCCACTCGGCCTATGTGACCTCTGGACTCCTCGTCTCAGTCTGGCTGCTGGCTGGGACTTCCGACAAATCTCAGACATGACATTTCAGGTTCCCTGCACTTCTGCATCCGCACAGACCCACGGGCCGTGTTTCTGGGGACGCAGGAGGGCACTGAGTGAGCCAAGGCCTGGTCTCCCCCTGGAGACAGCCCCAGCCCAGGCGACCGCACACAGGCAAGTCCCCGAGTGCGGAACGGCCCTGCATGAGGCTGCAGACATCCCCAGAGGAGGGAGTGCCTGGCGAGGTCGAAGCAGGTGCACACCAGAACTGCAGCTGGGCAGGGCTTAGCCCAGGCAGTGCGTGACCGCTGTCCGCATGCCCTGCCAGGCAGGGGCACCCTGGTGTTGGCCTCTCAGGAGTTAAACCCGTTCACCTGGCTGCTCTGGACAGGCCCTAACAGATGCGGAAGTAACCTGCCTGCCTCTTCTCCTGGCCTTTAGGGCTTGTCATGAGTCCCAGGGTGGCTTCCAAAGTCACCTGAACCTCAAGCAATGAATACGCTCCCTGGGAGTCTGCGTCTCCTCCACCGCGCTAGGGAAATGCTGGCTAGAGAGTGCCTCTGAGAGCCACGGCATCGGCCCTCTGAGAGCCACGGCATC